TGTGTGTGTGTGTGTGTGTGTGTGTGTGTGTGTGTCTGTGTGTGTGTGTCTGTGTGTGTGTGTGTATCTGTGTGTGTGTACACGCACAGGTGCCTACAGGTCAGAGGGAGCATCAATCTCTTGGAGCTGGACCTGCAGGTGATGGAGTGCTGACTAACATGGGTGCTGTGATTAGAAATCCATTCTTCTGCCAGAACAGTACATGCTCTTAACCTCCAAACCAGCTTTCCAGACACAAGTTAAATGTTTTGGGAGAAACCCCCATATGTCTATGTAGCTGTGTAACAATTGTTATTTCTACACTGAGAATCTAAATACTTCACAGAGAAAAGCAATCCTCTTCCCAGAGCAATTTCCTGATGCAACATTTTCAGCGGTCACAAGAGGGCGCCTCAACAAAAGATAACAACACCACACAGATCATCTGCTACTGAATATGCACACAAACATGCTCACATGTATGTGTCTGTGCACACCAATACCTCTACTCATATGTGCATGCTCACACGCAGAGACACATGCATGCACATACAGTTCATACACATGCTCACACAATCTTGCTTGCACACACATGGGCACTTGCATACACTTGCATACATGTGCACACAATGCATGTGTGTACACATGTACCCACATATATGCTCACAAAGGCACACACACTTGTATTCTCACAATACACACATGCACATGAACATTCGCACACATGCATACAGAAGTAAATTGTCTAGTCTTACTTTAATTATGCTCAGGTTACTGAGGTTAAAATTGAGTTGCTGAGTGAGAGGATGACAGCCCTTATGCTGGCCCCTTGGCCGTTTCCCTGAGCAGTGGGAGGTTTGCATCCAATAGTCACTGCTCAGCATTAGAACCCTACAAGTAGCGCATCAAAGGAGCGCCAACGTTGGGGTCATTCTCCACACTCATGACAAATAGCGATTTGTGTTTTCCTGGTTAATAGAGAAAAGTAAAATCCATCGTTAATATTTTCATCCCTTTCTATCTGAAATAATCCTGTCACCTGCTGAGCTCTGCTCCATCCTGAACACACTGACAGGAGACTCACCAGTGTCCACAGAGCTGCTGGAGTCAACCACTGACTTCAGGGACGGGGGTGGCATTTACCTTCCTGTGCCACAAACCCCATTTCAGCGTGGTTGAGGAAGTGCTTAGGGGCTGCCGTGATGGCTCGGAATCATGCTCTCCTAAACTTTTCTCCATTCTGATTCTCCAGGGTGCAGTCAGCAGCTTGCGGAACGAGGCTGAGGAGGTGGCCGATGTCTCCATCTTCCTGGTCTTTCACCTTTCTGAGTTGTCCAGTGTGAGCCAAGACCTGCGGGGCTGTGAAGCTTCTTGGGGCTGTAACACTTGAAACATCTCTTGGCTAGCATCTTACTACCCAAGCTCAAAAGTTTCTGTTTCATTCAAGCTATCACTTCCCTATCATGACTTATTTTTCCTTTTTAAAGTTGAATTAATAAATTTCTCCTGGGTTGAACATTCTTCACTCTGCCCATTTCATTCTTGGAGAACAGTGGGAGACAGGGGGATTGACACTCTCACCCAACTGTTTCACTTACAGGAGCCCAAATGACTCAAAGGCAGCTGCCCCCAGGAAGGGCCCCACCCCAGCATGAGTGATGACTCACAAAAGCCACACAATTGGAGTCCCCTGAGAGATCTGCAGCAGCTGGACAGTGGAAGCTCCTCTTCAAAGCAGCCATCACTGCTATGTGGGGAGGGCGGGGCTTGTGACTTGTATGTTTCAGGAGCTTCCTGAGTTTTCTGAGTCTTCAATTCTGAGTTTTGTTTATTTATGGAAACTTAAGGAGCTTCTCTCCTAGGTGGAATGTTTTAATTAAGAGGAAATTGCTATGTAAAATGTCTCCTTCGTTTGGTTTGTTCCTAGGTATTTTATTAGTAGTTTTTGAGGTTTTGTGAATGTAATGGGTGTCTGGATTTCTTTCTCGGTGAGTTTGTTACTGGCTTATAGAAAAGCCACTTTTTTTTTTTTTGCTTGTTGATTTTGTATTCTGCTACTTTGCTGGGCGTTTTTCAGATCTACAAGTTTTTGATGGAGTCCTCAGGGCATTTTAAGTACAGGATCTCTTCTTCAACAAACGGGGCTAATTTGATGTTTCCCTTTCCTCTTTGTGACCTGTGTTGGTGGTGTAGTAGTGAGGGTAGTTGCCTTTCTTTCCTGTTTGTGTATCTCTTTAACTTTAAAAAAATGTTTGTGTATGGTATGAGTATTTACCTGCATTCATGTATGTGTACCATGTGTGCGCCTGGTGTCTGTGGAGGTCAGAAGACAGACAGTTGTGAGCTACCACACGTGTGCTGGGAATACAACTTGGGTCCTCTGTCGAGCAACCAGTGCTTTTAAACACTGAGCCATCTCTCCAGCCTTTCTATTTGGATCTTTTTTATTATTGAATTACTAAGAATTCAAGCAGTTTCTCGAGGAAGTATGGAGAGAGCTGACACCCTGGCCTGTGTCTGATCTTAAAAGAAATCCTTTCAGGTCTCCCCCACTGAGCATCTGGCTCTGGGTTTCCTGTGTGCAGCCTTTGTTTATGCTGAGGTGAGACTCTTCCAGCCTTAAGTCTCTTTGCGGCTCTTTATCAGGAAATGTTGCTGGATTCTGTCGGAGGCTTTTTCTGTATTTATAGAGATAATTGTGGTATTTTGATGCTATGTACAATGATTTATCACATAAATTGATTGTGTATGTTGAGTCATCCTTGCACTGTTTGCGTTAACTATTTATTAGCATCATTTGTCCTTATGAAATGACCCACAAGAGATAGTTACTGACAACCACACAGATCAAGCCAATTAAAAGTTTTGAGTCCCTTATTAATGGTCAGACCAAGAACTGGTTTGAACTTCTGGCAAGTCTCTTGGTGCCCGGGGTATAGCATTTTAAAAGACAAAATCATAATTACATCAGTGCTCTAGGGGACCTTACATTAGTGATGGGTTGAGAGTTGCCTAGTAACATCTGCTCTCTTTATAAGACTCAGCTGTATCTTCCAGATACTACATGACATGTTTGAACCATGGTCAAGATCATGGACAGTCCCAGGATTGTCCCCAAGGTGAATGTGTCTGTTAGGGAGAAAGGCTGAAAAGTGACCAGGCCAGGGAGGAGGGTTGTGAGCCATGGGTTTTAATCAAACACTTTACAGCACCAAAATTATTTGATTCACGCTCTTATTTACTTAAATTATCTTTAACGTTTTGTAAAGTCTCTTTGATAAATCCTGATTTGTTAGCAAAGAAGCAACAAGCCTCTCCCAGGGTTACACAAAGTCCTTCCTGGGACGTGAAACTAACTCTAAATCTCTGGTTTTGGAGGACTACCTTTGTTAGAGACTCTTCCCCAGCATGAACATACCAAAGGAGAACTGAAGGCGTCTAACGTCGACATCTATCTGATGACTCCTCTGTCGCAGACCCATTTCTCCTTGGATCATGGTTGTAGTACTCAGATGGCGGTCCCTGCCACCCCCTTTCCTACCACCACTGGAATGAGGAGAGGGCAGCCACGGGGGATCCCTGAATAACACGCTGGGAAGTACAAGCCCACCACAAACGAGGTCCTACAGCAGGTGACTGGTGGTTCAGACAGACCAGGTTCCTATGGGAACGGAACACACTTCTGAGTGAAGAGTAACTGTAGGACCAGTATTACAAGAGGTGGAAGCAGGAGGTACACAACCAAACACGACGCTTATCCGTGAGACTCTTACTCTGAGTGGATCTGGTCCAGGTGAGACGGTTCTTTTCTGGTCCTGGTCGGGAACAGGCTTGGCAGGGGAGTGATGAATCTGGGCAGAGGTCCCATCAACCTTGACAGCAGTTGGCTGTCCAGGTTGGCCATTTGCCCCTGTGAGGAGGGTTTCCGCAGTAAGGAGCCTTTAAAGTCAGGTCCCGGCCAAGGGTGAGCCTGTCAGCTTCCTTTACTAGAATAGCTGTGGCAGCTACAGCCAGGTGCTTGGACAGATTGCAGCAGGCCTCTGC